TATATATATGTGCTAAAAATCCCTGAACATATATATATATATATATATATATATATATATATATATATATATATATATATATATATATATATATATATATATATTTAATAATAATATATATATATATTTAAAAAACTCATTAATAATTCAGGAGCAAAACACAAAGAAAAATCATAAGCGTGTCGTGGTTTTATATGTGATATAAATCATGTTAATTTACATAAACTTTAGCTTTGATTTTCTCGGTTGAGACAAAGTTTATTTTAAAAATATATTACTTCGCCAATGAACTTGTATAAGATGAGTCGTTTTTTAAGCCATTGAAAGCACTTGTAGTCGTGTTTTATCAAATATAAAACACTCCGCTACGCGTCGTGTTTTATATGTAATAAAACACTCCTACGTGTGCTTTAAATAGTACATATATATGTTACTATACGTAAAATAGGCTTCAACTTAAGGTAATTAAAACTCATTCCTCGCATGCTTCCCAAGACGTTTTAAAATGCTCTTTATAAAACTAAACTGCCTTTATTGAAATACTTTGAGTTTGAAATAAGATGATTTCAATTGCAAATTTTCGTATTCAAACAAGTTTGCTTTCTTTTTTTATTTAAACAATTAAATATAATAAAAAAAGGATAATCAATAAAGAAACACTGAAATTATATGCTGTCTTTTTCATTTAAAATATATACGCAACGTCATGATCAGCTGGTTTTAAAGCAATAATATAAAGCGAACAATACATCAATATACCACAGAGGAAGTACATACAAAGATCTCACTTCAGGTTAGTGTAGCGTGAGGGATTTTTTCAGTCCGCCATGTTCTTAGCCAGTCAGGTAATGAGAGGTCATCACCCCCTGAAAACATATTGAAATTTAATGTTTCAGGGGGTAAATGCCTCTCCTTACCGGACTGGCTAAGAACATGGTCGCCAGCTATTTTTGTAAAAACTATACCTTACGGTTTTCCAGCAGAAGTGAGATCTTTGTATGTAAAAACAAACCTACCTTCGTTAACATCGGCGCCTTTACTCCCTTCTTTTAGCAATTCTTTCGCCTTTATATCTTAAAAAGCTTTTGAAATTCACAAAATCGTGCAAAAATATACTTGCAAGAAATCATCAAATGAAGAAATGTTTGCTATTTCGCTGTTGTCATGCAGACGTTATAATGCAAATTTTAAATTTGACCAATCAGTATTCGTTTTCATGACAGTCCGCCATATTGTTGAGATCAGTGAGGATGACCACCCACCCAACACCGTTGTGTCACCCACGCCCGCGATCATTAATGAACTTCAAACTTCACTAATGCTTTCGTTTTCCCGGGTGTGAATAGCCGGGCGGAATTAGTTCCTTCGCCCACGGAGCTTACGGGGGGTTATATACAATAAGCTTCGATTTAATATAAAATTTACCAATTCTTTCGCCTTCTTTCTCGTATCTTTTTTTCTCTGCATGCAACCCGCTATGTTTTGAGATCAACGAAGACGATCACTCATGCACGCACAGTAACAACGCCCGCGATAATTGATGAACTTTAGGCCTCGCTAATGCTTTCCTTCCCCGGGGGAAATAGCCGGGCTGAATATACCCTCCCCCGGCGCTTGGCGCTGTTAGCTCGGGGACAAGATAGACATTTAATTTTAATATGTCTTGCAATTACAGGCTTGGGTAAATGGTCACCCAGTTTCCGTGGAAGACATCTGGAGAAATTAAGCAATTGGATTCATGTAACCGTGAACAAAACTGTAATTAAATTCATGTACTGTAATTAAACGTACGCAATAAATTTCATATATTATTAGACATTCATTGACTGCATGCATGTCACTGTAACTCAACCAGACAGTTCAATTCAATAAAGTTACAAAAATAATAAAGTTACAAAATTTTAGTTGCATTTCCAATTAAAAGTTCTATTCACCAACCGCCCCCCCCCCCCTCCCTCCCCTACCCCCATTGAAAAATCGTACACTACATTCTTGACGGACAGTAGTTTTCTACGGTTTATTAATCATTTTTTCATAATTTAATAAAGCTTACATCTTCATGGTTACCTGCAGATCGAACAATAACTTAATCCTTTTTAGGTTGCATGGGACGTTAATTTTCGGCCAAAATAAGATGTGCAAAAAGAAGTTGATGAGCAAACTATTTATTGCAGATTCACGCACCTTTTAAACCACCGCAAAATATTAATTAAGTCGTCTTTCAAAAAGCTCTCTTTCGCAATTTGATGCATATAAGTATTTGTTACATAAATAATGCTGAAACTAAGCGTGATTGGCAGCTTCGTGGTCACGTGCCTTCAGATAAATGCAATGTATCGCCCTTAGCAATAAGTGAAAATTGGCCAGCCGCGACAGGCTACGTCATAGATATCTTACATACACTAAATAGCGCATCTCTTTTAGTAAAATTGGAGCCAAAAATATTGCAGCGGTTACCTCCATTTGAATAGATGGCGGCCATGGTGGTCGTTCCCACTTGCTAATAAACGCTTAAAAACAACAATAACTTTCATCATTTGAATAGTTTAAAAACGTATTTGCAATAGGGTTAACTTAATGTTTAAGTTCCCTGTTTAAAAAATAGAAAACATACGAAGCTTCTCATTTCATGGGAACGACCTGAGACTGCAATCACGGCTTCAATTTTTGAATTGCACAATAATTAGATGCACTATCTAGTGTATGTAAGATATATATGGGCTACGTACAAAAATAATCAAATTCGGGCGGCGCAAATCACAAGTATAGCAACTAGAATTTTCAATGCAAGTTTATGTTAAAGAGGCTGTCAAGTCCGTTCTGCTCATGCGCGTGTTGTGTTTACATTTTTGTTTCAAACAATAGATAATTTAATTAAAATTCCGATCTGTGGGGCCACAAGTTAGCTCATTACGCATTCAGAATATATCACGAAGGAGAAATTGAACTACTAAAGCAAAAATATAGTCCCAAAACAACTTAACGAAAACGCTGAGAAACACTTCTTACAGAGGCATGGACACATTTAGCTTTAAAATGATGAATTTAAGATTGAAAATGTTAACGGCCGTTAACAAACACATCTTTATACAAAGATATGACCTAATTAGTACAAATTTCAATCAAATTTTGTCCCCTACCTCAGTAAAAAGGGCTTCTTAGCGTTTTCGATTTAAAATTTGTTTGCTTCCGGGCTAAATTTTTGCTTTAATAGTTCAATTCCTCCTTCGTGACATAGTCCGAATGCGTAATGAGCTAACTTGTTGGCCCACAGATCGGAATTTTAATTAAATTATCTATTGTTTGAAACAAAAATGTAAACAAACCACGCGCATGAGCAGAACGGACTTGACAGCCTCTTTAAAATAAAGAATGTAAAGAAAGAAAAATATAAAACAGGCAACAGGATATGCTGCTGCCTGAAACCGTTTAAGTGAGATTTTAAAATTTTAAACCCGTTTACACTATAGAGTTTCTCACAATTTGGCAGGAAATACAGTTTGTTGTATGAACGTTGTTGATTTTTTGTCGCTTATAGTGTGTACAAAACACTACTCGGGAACGCGAGTGCTAGTATATGCTGCACGTTAGTGGGATATCATGCAGGAAGCCTCTCTCACCGCATGGTTCTTCTTTTGGAGATAAGATTATAAATTTTCGTTATTTTGCAACCCATCTTGGCAAATTGTAATTCAAAACTTTCAAACGTTTTCGCAATTGCCCAAAAATCAAATAGCTCACATTTCCTAAATATGATTGTGTAACATTGTGAATGAAACTTTGTCAACAGTTAGATATAAAAATTCTACTTCGACTTCATTGGGCTATATTTTTATAATATACAGGGTGTATAAAAAAAAGCGCAATCCTCGACTGAAATGTAAATTGCTAAACAAATAATAGACGAAAACGTTAAAGTTTACATTCATTTTAAAGCATAGCCATTCAGCTTTCTAACAGTGGGTTGTTTCTTAAATTTGACTCATTGGTTCGCGGGTATTAATACTTTACGTTATTGCGATTGGAGATTAAAAAAATTGAGATGGAATAACAAATCGTTCTCATGAAAATAACTGGGTTTTTTCATTAAAACAAAAACATGTTGCATTTTAATAAATGGATTGTAACAACAAGTATAATTGCGGCTTTTCTTCCACTATTTTTAACACAGTTTGAAACTTCAAATGCGATATAATTTTGGTTTGGACCATCTAAGCTGACTGAGATCAGCTTGCTATAATTTCTGTTTACATTACATCGTAATTCGATGACACTCTGGCTCAGACACCAGAATGTTTTGATTCTATGATTTTTAGCATTCGTTTAGGATTTTCAAACAACCTGGTCTCTTTTAAAATACTTTTAATTTGTTCTTACGTGGTTTTCCAGATGTAGTGATGACAACATTAAAGTTTAATTAGGGAATGTTCATTTAATATGACAAGGGGGGAGTGAAGATTTCGTATTGCTTACAAGATTTTTTTAGGAGCCCATCGCAACATTGCGCTGAAATTTGTGAGCCCCCCCTGTAAGTATCCCTAAAAATTAAGAGCCCCTCCCTTCTTCCTTTGCTCAATTTTAATAATACCCATATATAACTACATCCAAAATCTTAAAGATACTTGGGCGTTATCCTGATTTTAACTAGTTAATAAACATAATAGTCTTCGTATCTTGCATGTGGAAAACTAGCTGCTCTTCTGCTGCGTATCGTTGGCAAATTTGCAATTTCTTCATCAGAATCCTCAGACATTCCCTCAGTTGAATTGTCGTCTTCATCGCCTTCTGGAATTATCTGAAGTACTTCATCATCGTCAGAATCGGATTCACCATCTCCTGACAAAGTATCATCATCTGAAGTTTCTGCATCAATGACTGCGTCGTTGGTCCTATTTATGTAGAAATCTGCTTTAATTCGTTTGATTTTATCCTTTTTTTTCCGATAGTGGACAGGTCGTGTCTCTTAAGGTACTTGTCAAGTTCCATCACTTTTAATGAATTTAGTTTTCCTGAATCAATGAGGGTATTCCAGTCGTAGTCCTCATAGGTTTTGCTGCACTCTTTTTCTCGTTTTTTTCTTCTTTCGTTTTCCTGATAGCAGACATCATTTTCAACTCTTCAAGGTGTTTAACATATGATGCGACATCCTTCTCTTCAACACAATAGCGACTGGATACTTCTTTAAGTTGTTCGACATTGTCCGATGAGATCGTGCCAGCTTTATATAGACGCTTTATCACTGCCCTGGGAGCGACATCATCCACTTCCCTTAACTGTCCGTTATTGTCTGTGGTTGGTGTGTTGAAAACACTCATATAATGCCCTGGCTTATCAGGATCCGGATACGGGGCAGAAACTCTGGAGAACCTGGGTCCAACCCAGTCCTTTTCACTACATTTCTTGCATACCTCTCCATTTTCCCGACATCCGTCCCTTATATATTCCATATATAGTTCACCAATTCTGTAGTGTTTTTCAATAAAGTTTAAAACATTCGTTATGTAGTGGTAACCAGGAACCTGTTGTTTTGACTCAGCGGCAGTACAACTTTGAAATTGTTTTAAGTATTTTTTGGTGAAAAAGAAAGGGCTTTGCTTTGGAGTTAAATAACATTTAATAAACTCGTTAAACACTGGTGCCCCATCAACCCTATTGCGAATTTCATTAGCACAGTACCACGCATTCTTCTCCATTCTATCCGTCTCGTGTTCTTCGAACTCTTTCACCGTCAGTTTACTTATATCTTCATCACTTAGTCCATCAAAGCGTTTATGTTTGTTCCACTGGAGTGTTGCGCCATCTACGATACTGTCGCCGATTGCGCTGTTAGTCCTCTCGGCCTCGTTATCAGACGAATTACCCCTGGAAGAATGCAGTCTGATCCGATAGTCACTGTTATGGTTAATCGCTAACTCAGCATCCCTGAACTGTACTTCGAAATTGTTACAAGCAACTCCAGGTCCAGCGTCGGTAAAATCCGCCCATCTTGGTGTCACAGGCGGAAACTTCAGATCTGCTTCGTTTAGATTAAAGCGACCACACAAAGACAAGGATGATTCCAAGCGAATCATTAAATGCGAGAGTCTCTCTTTCTCGTACTAACAATACGGGTTTTCGGGAAATTTGCAAGAGGTTACATTTGCTAAGTCATCTGCATTTGTCATTTCCACAAAAAGTTTTGTGTCATCATGCACACGGGCACAAGTACCTCTAAACTCTGCGGAATATTTGGGATCGTTCTCGTTAGCAACTTCAAACTTATCTGAAAGGTTAGTTCTCAGTTCCTCAGTTTCATTGGCCCATGTTGTACCGGATGAATCTACAAACGCCTTCGGTCGAATGAACACAACGTGCGTGTCATCTTCATTGATGAGTTTTTCTTCACCTTGTACAGTGACGGCTAATATAAAATTTCAAATATAAGAAGTACAGTCATGTATGAATCAATAAAATATGTACTGTAGCACTTTATTTATTAACACTTACCGGGTAGTTTAAATTTAAAGCTGCACTCGATGCATCGATTAATTCAACGATTGATCACATCTTCCGGCAATCGATTACCGCGCTACGCCGCGACCAAATGTTGGTTCATTGAGAACAGCTATTAAATTTTTATTCACATTTTAGTAAATTGTTTGAGTTAATGTTGTCAGCCTTTTTATAGTTTAAATACATTGAAGACAATTATTTTATATGAGTATGAGTCTTCGTTAATATTATATTTCTCATAATTATTGGAAGATACTTTTTTCGTACATTTGATTCATTGGCCTATTAATCAATTGTTGACCAATAGGTTAAGCATATACAGTTTGGGCCTAGGAGTATTGGGCCAGCTCTACTTGCCAAACTGCCAAAGTGATCATTGTTACTGTTCCTACCTTCTTTGTGCAGAATTCGGTGAGTTGAAGGTGTTATATAAACCATTTTCTCCGGCCAGTCATACATGGGCAACTTTCTCGCTTTTTTCTCAGCAGATGGAGTAAGTATTCGCGTTTTTCTGGTGTTTCCAAAGCCTTCGCTAGTTCCTGGGTCGACACAAGTTAAAAAGTATTGTAATAACAATGGTGCTGCATTGTTATTTTACAATGACAAAATGGATGTCGTGGAAAAAGTAGGAGCTAACTCCTATCGAACAAAACACTACTGCTCTACTACTACAAAAAGACATCTATCTAAATTTGACATTTCACTGATATACTAGGTCATGGATAATTTTTTTATTGCAGTAGCACTTTACTATAATTAACAGAAATGTAAAATTACCTGGCCTTAAGTAAGCATTGTCATCAATGCTCCGGGCAAAACAATACTTTGGCTTTGTTCTGCTATCAGATGAGAAAAAAGACATCACGACATTCTTTTTGTGAGCCCTTTGGTAGTGGGTGTTTTCATTTAATGCCTTCTCAGTTTTTGGTGGCTTACGACAGCAAAACAGCCCCTTCCCTAAAATATGTGTCAAGAAACCAACATTTAATACAAACCAGTAATTTTTTAAAACAACAAATTTTCTAATTGCGAATAGAATTTTACACACTCATGTACTTCATTCAGCAACCCACTTAATATAGGTATTCATACCAACCTATATGCTTTCGTCCCTGTATACTTCTTTTGTTTCTGGGTCTAGACCGGTTCAGCACAGTTGTTGATGACTTCAAAGTAGGTTTACCTCGTTTGGTGAGGTGGAAATTGGCAATACCAACCAGATCTCGGACTTTAACTCGTCTGTTGGTGAACATAGTTGGCTCTGAACGACGGCCATGGTAAGTGGCTTTTTCTTCTATTGCCTTGCAAATAAATTGCTCATCTTCACTATCAAGAAGTTTTGGTCTTCCTGAAAACACAGCACTGTCAGCAGAGATTTAGAAACAGGGGCTGCCATACCCAGGGCTATATAAAATATGCATAATGCACTTTAAACTTCTGTAGTTATTTTGATGCAGTGTTTTGAAGTCAAAAGGGCCATTGTATCATGTTTTATACTCCCTCATCCAGGTAGAAAATTTGATACTGCATGCATAGAATATAATTTACAGTCCAAACTTATTTATCAATGGTGTAGTATAAGCGAGGATTTTTACTACAATTTAATACACAAAATAAAACTTAAAAATTATACGCCAAACCTTGGTTGCTTAAGCGCCTCCTTTTTACTCGATGTATCTGAATAAGGTATTCAGCTTTTCTCTTGCACCTCCTTTTGAATTGCTGTTGATGCTGTTTTGTGGTAGGTGTTAGGAGATTCTCCATATATTTTGCATGGTCTTGTACTTTCTTTATTTCCTCTTGAAGTTCAGTTATTTTCTCTACTGGCCAGTGTGCCCGTTTTTGTAACACCAAGGCCTCTTTTTTATCTGCTTCAGTCTTTGCACTTTTTATTTGTTCCTCGATATTTTGAGTTGTAATATCTTCTGCAGCAATGTGCGCATTCTTGCATTCCTTTGCCATTTCCAGAACTTGAGAGGTATTAGCTGCAACATTAGTAGCATCAATGCCAAGTTTTGAAAGTTCCTTGAGAGAATACACAGCACCAAGGATAATTCTAACAACTTTTTTATCCCATTCAGAGTCCATTGACTTCAGCAGCATCTGGACTGTCTCTTTATTCAGCTGAAATCTGCTTTCATTTATAGATTTACTGGAAAGATCAGTACTCAAATGTACTAAAAATGTTGAAAAGTCTACATCATCTGATCTCAGGATGATGTACCCGTCTCTTGATAATGGATTAAATATATAAACACACAAGCCACATTTTGGGTGAAGCAGGGCAAACTGAAACCTTTTTACATCATAACTGTCTTTAGAACCTGGTACATAACTGGTATCAAAGCCAAGAAAAAGTTCCAGGGCATCTTCAAACATTAGGTGAATGTTAGGTACTTCTTTACCATCTTCCGTAATCTTAGTCAAAAGTAAATGTTCTAACACAGCTAAAAGCCCATTGATCTTGTTGATTTCGGCCACTGATTTCAATGAAGCTTTCAGTTCTTGTAGCACCTTTCCATTTTCAAGGATCGTACAAGGTTGAAGTGACTTCAACAAGTGGGGAGACACACGAGCTTGGGAAATAAGGTCAGCTCTCCAGTCATTCTTACCTCTGCTAGTCTTTGAATGAGTTGAAGTTTCTTTATCAATTTGAATTATGCATGAGCTCTCCATCTTAACTTTTCCAGCAACATAAGTATTTATAAATATACCAACGTTTTCAAAAACAAAATAGAATTCTCCCGCCAAAAATATCGAATCTTGAGTCGCGAAATATATGCCAGCGGCTAGCTTAGAAAACTTGGAGGGTACTTCATGATCACAGTGACAAATTTTGTTTTCGTTAATATGGCGTCTGCATCTACATCTACTGCGACAAAAACTGTTAGTGAATGGTTAAAATCGATCAACTTAGGACAATACTATGAAAAGTTTGAAAACGAAGGTTACGATGATTTGAAATTCTTGGTTAAACTGGATGAAAATGAAGTTAAAGACTTATTCATCAATGTTGGAATGTCAAAGAGTGGACATATTGTCAAGTTCAAGAAGTCTTTACTTGAACTTCAGAGTCAGTCAGCAAAAAGTAGAGGTTTATTAACAAAGGAATCGAATACCACAGAAAAAGTTATTAATACCCTGAAAATGAAATCTCAGTCAAGTACGTATTCTTTCAATAAATTTTGTAAAGACTGTAAATTATAATAAGGATGCTTTATAATATAATATAATATAATTTATATTTAATTATTATAAATAAAAGCTGCTATCACAATGACCTTCCATTTTATTTGTTTTTTATAATAAAAAGCGGGTTTAATTAATAGAAAAAAGGTAGCAGCTAATAGCCAATGTGCCTGTAGATATGGATGGATCCAGCCTGACCTGGCAGGGGGGTGCTAAGCAGGGGCTCAGGTCATAAAACAGGATGTAATTGTTGATTAAGCGAAAGTGAATCATCACTGAGGACCCGCTGCAGGGGCGATTGTCAGAAAATTTTTGAAAACTAGAATTGCCTAGATGGTCAAAAGGGGGCCCAATGGGCCAATATTGTGTTTTTGCTTGATACATGCCTTGCCAAATCCAACATTTGGATTTCATATGGAAATTGGCACTCCTCTTTGGTCAAGGCTAGGGAGTGTGCACCCCCCGACCCCCCCAGTAAGTCCATACCTGTCTATAGGGCCATGACCTTGTCCATGACCTTGCTATTAATATTAATTATTAACAAAACTTGGGACTAAAAACCTCTGAGATTATATTAGTTGTACTGGGGCTGGTTGTTTGAAAGGTGGATAGCACTATCCACCGGATAGCGATTTTTTCAAGCTTTGTTAAATCAGTCGTTGATTGGTATAACTTGTATTTAACGTTTACTATTTTTAAGTTAAATGTTTTTTCTACTTCTTGTGTTGTCTATATCCGTAGTTTCGCAGTTTTTCAAGCATTTTACAAAGGTTGAAAAAATCACTATCCGGTGGATAGCGCTATCCAACCATCGAACAACCAGCCCCTGTACTGTATTGGCTAGTCTGGTCAACTTGATCTGAACCATGTAAACCGTATTCTCCTTCTATACTGTATATTAAATAATGGATTTTCATTAATATTTACTTTTCAGCTTTGAAACTTGTAAACGGTCGCTTGGTGTTTGCAAAAGAGTGTGGTATAAGCCAAAAGAAAACTTCTAACCCATGGGAGTGCTTTCTTATTCCTAATGCTCACTCCAAGAGACTGTTGTTCTTTAATGACATCACAAAGGATATCTACAATTCTGCCTTTATAAAGCTTCAGTCACGCTTCAAACAATATCTGGATCAGCAGCGAATTTCCCGTTGGGAGGTGAGAATTTGAAGCATGGGCAAGTTTAAATCATATATATATATATATTGCTCTCACCAAGCGCATGTGGTACAACTCAGTGACACCAACGCATCCAGACATGCGCAAGTGTCTTGTATGTATGTCTTGTATGTCTTGTATGTCTTGTATGTCTTGTATGTATGTATGTATGTATGTCTCGTATGTCTCGTATGTCTCGTATGTCTCGTATGTCTCGTATGTCATGTATGTCATGTATGTCATGTATGTATGTATGTTGAGTTGTGTAATTGTACACTCCGTAATATGTCAAGGTGAAAATGTTCTCGAGTGTGTATTATATAATTTCCATACCCAGCGTAAGCAGAAAGATAAAGTCTGCCGCAGCTGGGTCTCGAACCCGCGACCTTCAAATTACTAGATCGACGCTCTACCAACTGAGCTACACGGTCAGACGGATTTAAGACTGGAAATTATGAAATATATACTGAATGTCATAAACATACTCGTTTATATTAAATCAGCATCGAACAATACCAGTTCTGCAATTGTTATGTTGAGTTGTGTAATTGTACACTCCGTAATATGTTAAGGTGAAAATTTTCTCGAGTGTGTATTATATAATTTCCGTACCCAGCGTAAGCAGAAAGATAAAGTCTGTCGCGGCTGGGTCTCGAACCCGCGACATTCGAATTACTAGATCGACAGGTATTGTTTGATGCTGAATTAATATAAACGAGTATGTTTATGACATTCAGTATATATTTCATAATTTCCAGTCTTAAATCCGTCTGACCGTGTAGCTCAGTTGGTAGAGCGTCGATCTAGTAATTCGAAGGTCGTGGGTTCGAGACCCAGCTGCAGCAGACTTTATCTTTCTGCTTATGCTGGGTATGGAAATTATATAATACACACTCGAGAACATTTTCACCTTAATATATATATATATATAATATTAATTAGAAAATACAATATTTTATAATATTGGCTTGGTTCTGCTTTGTTCTCAGGTAACAAGGATATTACTCAGCTAGATACAATACTGAAGTTCAACACAAATGACGGTTTTGATTTAAACGTCAAAAAGTACCAGGAAATTCCTCCTGGCCCGTGGCGATAGATGTGGAGAGAGCCAAATCTACCATGTTCAAATTGTCTTCATTAGAGGAGAAATTGGGTGCCATCAAGCACAGGTTGCAAGAGCGTAATAATGAACCTAAGCAGTGGGCAGGCGATGAAATTTCCTATATTACTCAGCATCTTGAAAAGCTTAACAAGAATCTTATTTGTCTTCACTCTTCCATCACTAACACCTGGCAGCTTTTAAGTGCCTGTTTCAATAAGGATACAGTTTCAGGAGAAGAAAGGAAGAGGATAACCAGGAGAAGAAAAGAGCAAAGGAGAAAAGCTTGTCAAAGACAAACGAACATGGGAAAAAAACAAGCTTACAGGCTTATATTGAAAATACATGGAAAAGAATTTGCTGATGCCTTTCTTATAAAAGGAAACACTCAAAAAGTTAGCACACAAAAACTGGGGAGTATACAGCTCCTACCCAGATTCCACATAAAAGCCATCGAATACTTGATTGCTCAAGGCACAGTTGATGACATGGAAGAAGCAAAAAGACTTTTAGATATACTTCTGGCAAGAAGAGCAGCAGCCAAAAAGGCCACCACAGTAAAGAGTCAGGAGGAAAGGACCAGCCTGGAGTCTGAAAGTGAACTCTCAGATGGCTCTGAAGTGGATGACGAGATTACAGAGCCTGGAGATGATGAGTCTGACAGCTTTGAAATGGATGAAGATAGTGACTATTAAAAATAACCTGTCACTCCTTAATCAGTTTTATTTAATATTATCTTTAAATAGACCTAAACATTCAAAATACAGTATTACATATTAACTGGAAATAGGTAGTTAAAGTAGTTGGAAAGACAAGAGCCCCCCCTACGTAACCTCAAAAATTTTAAACCCCCCCCCTTGCTGGACTAAATTTTTTCTAATGCCCCCCTCAGAATCTTCACTCCCCCCTTGTCATATTAAATGAACATTCCCTAAGAACCTTGTAAACCAGAAAAGTGAATTTTTAAGTTTCTATATTTAAAATCTATTTAACCAAACTTGAATCTAAGCTTCAAAACTTGATGAATTTAAGTTGAACAATAGATTACATCCCTGTGAACAAAATAATGGATGCTTTTTGTCTAACTCTATTGTGTTGCCATGGCAACAACTATTAGGTAAGGGTCTTACTCATCAATACCAATTTTGGTGTAGAACATTCAATTTTGATCAGAGTGTAAAAGCATCAATTAATTTGTGCATAAACATCCAAAGAACAATCCACGGTGGGCAAAAAAGACAGCAAATTCAGGCACTTAGTTATAACTTTCTGACCTTAGTTTGGAATATCATGAAACTTCCTCACATGATAGAACTTGCCATTCCTAAAAATCCTATCATTTTTGTTTATCGATTTTGGTGGGAAAATGACATGCTATTAAGAACATGCTAGTAACTTTTTTGAAGAGATTGTCCTATAAGGATATCGAAACTGTAAAAACATTGAAAATACAAAAGACGGTGCGAAGATATGGCGATCCAAAGTTAAAAAAAAATCTATTTTTAGTAACAAAATGGCAAATTTTGCAAACTTTTAAGCACCATGTCTTTGCAACTGCTTTGTTTTACAAGTTTAATTTTTTGGCGCCAAAGTTGGCACGTCATTTTCCCGCCAAAATGTAACAATATCGAAAAACAAAAAACATACGATTTTTAGGAATGTCAAGTTCTATCCTGTGAGGACGTTTCGTTATATTCCAAACTAACGAGAGAAAGTTGTTTTATGTGGCTGAATTTGCTGTCTTTTTTTGCCTACCGTGATCTCAGAAAAATCAGCAAGATTGCTTATTAAATATTCTCCAAGAAGATAGGATTTAAGTAACTGCTGCTAGCCAAAGTGCTGTTTTGGGGCGAACGTCACAGTCACTTTTCTTACTTTCTACTGGCAAATCGAGCCATTGGTGCATCTTGGCTTGTGGCTGCACCAGTATTGAAGGACATGGCAGCAGGCATGACAGCAATTTCCACAACACGAGCCCCTTTGTACCAGTGTTTAGGAGCGTTTTTCCGAACAAGGCTGCTGAGACTTTCATTCGCATTCTGCAAATACCCAGGAGGACAGCAGATCAACAGGGAATACTCACTGAGGCTTTGGAACTGAGGTAGAAGGAAATCTAGGAAAACAGCATCTAAATCTTTCCTCTTGAGAGTACCATCTCTCCTATAAGAGCACCAGCTATCTGGCCCTGGTGGACAGTATTGTTACTACATACTCAATAAGTGTGGTAGAGAACTGCCAGTATAGCCTTTTACATAACTTCAATTTACTCCTTTTTCTCTTGTGGAGTTAATGTCTCTGGCTTGAAATTTGCCCTGATGGCATTTCCATAATATGTTTGTAACTTATCTAAAGTTTTGTCCATCAGTCAGAGTTCACTTCCCTTTACTGACTTCCCATCCTTCAGCTTAGGCTACTTTTTTCTTACCTCGTGCAAGTGTGTCCCCATTCTTACACATACTAATGATGATTTTAAGACCAAAAAATATTAATAAGGTGGTCTTATACCTTCATTTTTGGAAAAATTCATTTTTTCAAAATAGCTAAATTTTAAATCTATGCTGTCTGTCTATGAGTTGTGTAAGGTGGTTAAATATCAAGAAAAGGAACCTGTTCCTTTAATTGCCACTTAGCAACTGCCTTAGCAACGCTTTTGTTGTCCTGAAATTCACACAAATGGACAGTTTAAGTCCACCAAATTTTTTGAATAATTTTGCTAACCCACTCCCCCTCAGTGGATTTGTATTTAGGAGCTGTTAACATATATTACATGAAGTATATGCTCTTGAAATGCGAAGGGATAGTGGTCTTCCTTTCGGCTTCCATTTTGAATTTTGTGTGAAAGTTCTAATCAAATATAATTGTTTAAATTGCGAAAACCTCGATCTAAAATGCCTAAACATCGTAAACTCAAAAAGCTAAAGTTTTGTGGAAATCAGTATTCAAAACAAAAGCGTACCCGAATGAAGTGAGAGGTCCTCGGCAACAACATCACATCAAGCATTGAAAATCAGTTGTGAAACTTCAGTGTCAGCATGTCTACATGTGAAACTTCAGTGTCAGCATCAGGATGGAAAATTAATTTGGGTAACAAAGAGATGCCCAAGTTAAACAAAAGTATGTGTGGCTACCGATTTATAAATCTTGAGATTTTCGGAACTATATTTAAACTATACCCTGCAAGGAATGCCATGAATGTCAGTTGATGCTCATTGAAGATGATTCTCAGATGTGCATCATGTCTTTCAGGTTGGTGTAGCTCGTGTGGATGTTCTGAAGTTTTTTATACCTCTGAAAAGCTTGGTCATTATTTTGAAATCAACAGAAGAATGAATGGAGAGGTGTTCTACCATGAATATGCCACCGCCAGTTAATCCTAAAGCTTTTGACTACCATACCAAGGTATATTACGTGCTGTAAAAGAAGTTGGAGAAGACACCATGAATGATGCAGTCCAAGAAATCCACAATTGGAACAGTGCAGAAGTTGATGAAGATATAATTCTGAAAATATCTGTTTCATGTGATGTTATGTGATAAAGGAGGTTGTGGCATGGTTGTGTCACTGTTATTTCCATGGAAACAGGCAAAGTTCTTTACATTGAACCCTTAAGCAAAGTTTGTAATAAATGCAAGAAGCACGAGGGAAAGAATACAACAGAAAATGAAGTTTGGAAATGAAATGAGAAACGTCAGTGTATCTCAGGCAGACTGCCATCTGGTAAGCGAAGCAAACTATTAGGAAATAGAAACCACTAGAATGTGTCGAAAACTGCTTAGAGGTCAAAATAATAAGTTAGGTGGCAAGAACAAGGAGAAATAATGTGAACCATATGCTGCTGGCTCTACTCTACGGAAGCCCAGACGCGACACGCTAAGTACGTTTTTCACTTTTACATTTTTCGGTTCGTGATTTTTCGGTTCGTGATTTTTAGGTTCGTGATTTTTAGGTTCGTCATTTTTAGGTTTGTCATTTTTAGGTTCGTGATTTTTAGGTTTCTAGGTTTTTAATTTTTAGATTTCTATTCTATTTGAAGGTAGTAAATTGCAAATAATGGACCAGTATAACTATTGAACATTAGCTATCGATATAGTGATTAAAACACATAGTGCAAACTGCCATGATATTATTTATCGTTTTAGTAGGTAATTACAACTCACTTCACACATATTCAAGCTTAGGGGCCGATTACATGGAGGTTTTCATCCCAGGTTGAAATTTCTGGCTGGCAAACCGGAATGAAATTTCAGCCCGGGGCCCCTATAAATTCAATATAAAATGAATTTTACGATTACATGGAAGAAATTTCAACCCGGGCTGAATTTCAGCCTGGGTTGAAATTTTCATCCCGGTTTATGTCACCCGGGATGAGATTTTCAGCCCTGTCAACCGGGATGAAATATCCCATGGCCATGTAATCACAAATAATTTCAGCCTGGGCTAAAAAAATAATCGTCTTTATTTTGTGTTTCGTCTCATCTTTCATACTTTATATGCAACCACAGTCTTACACAAGTCAAATAGTCGACTAATCGGCGTTTATATCGTGATATTGTATGATTTCAGCCCGGGTTTGTTTACCACAAGGGATAAATATAGCTCTGACTAAAACACAGCCCGGGTTCAAATTGCCCATGTAATCGTGATGCTATTTCAGCTTGGTTAACCGTTTTCATCCTGGGCTGAAAACTCTCCGTGCAATCCGGCCCCTTAATTAGTCAAAAGTAAAAACACAGACGTACGGGCGAGCGATATCTGGTTGGGGGGCGGGGGGGGGGGGTGAACTCAAAAGTTCCCCCCCTTCCTTTCGGACAACCCCCTCCCCCGTCAAAAATATTTACCGGAAAATGTTGGCGACGGGGAGAGAAAACTAAACTTCCCAAGAATATTTTCCAAACCTATTTAGCACTATACAATAGTGCCGACTGCTGTGATAAATATTGTATTCAAAAGTAAACCAGAGACGTACCCAACCTCGTGTTCCCAGTGTCTCTCATTCTGTTATCTGGGAGCGATAAATGGTTGTGGGGAGGGAGAGTTGGTTGTTGGTGAGTGAACTCAAAAGTTTGGGCTCCCCTCCTTTCGGACTATCCCCCCCACCTTAAAATCTTTCCGGAAAATGTCGGCAACGGGGGGAGAAGGGTGAGAAAAAAGTTCCATAAATATTTTCCAAACCTTTTGGGGGATAACAGGAGGGTTAAAAATACGTTTTTCAGTTTCTGGACCGTAATTTTTCAATTCGGGCGCCCTCTGAGGAAATTGGGCCCCCTCCCTTTTGGCATAAAAGAGGTGTATAAAACATGGTACCTAAAAAGCGCAGTGAACCTCGGAATAACGTGAACCATAGAAAAGTGCAAGTCACAACTCACTCGACATGTGCAGGGGGGCATAAGAATACTGTGCGCCCCCAGAAAACGGCAAAGCACTATACTGGCTCGGGCCCCAAATTAAGCAGTTCCCAATGGCGCAGGGCTCAGTTGGCTCCGTAAAGGAAAGGGTGTAGCTGAGGCCTGACAATGTTTTGGGGAGCCATTCGTCTCTATCTGTTATTAACTTGGTGTTCCGGCAACATATCTTATAACACAAACCGGTCAAGTCCGTAAACCCCAAAAATCAAAGACTGGAAAAATCAAAAACCCAAAAATCAGAAGACCTAAAAATCAAAGACCAAAAAATCAAAGACCCAAAAATCAAAAACCCGAAAATCAAAAACCCAAAAATCAAAAACCCAAAGATCAAAGACCGAAAAATCAAAAATCCAAAAATCAAAAACAGAAAAATCAAAAACACAAAAATCAAAAACACAAAAATCAAAAACCCAAAATCAAAAACCCAAAAATCAAAAACCCAAAAATCAAAAACCCAAAAATCAAAAACCCAAAAATCGAAGACCGAAAAATCAAAAACCCAAAAATCAAAGACCGAAAAATCAAAAACCCAATAATCAAAGACCGCGAAAAAGCAATAATGACATAGCCACGCCCTGCCTGGTTTTTTACTTTGTTTATGTTACGTGCGTATTTATATAAAGTCGTTGGCCTGTTCTCTATATCATCTTCATCGCCATATTAAAATGGCCATAGTTTTGTAGCACTATTATATATTTTGTAAATTGTAATAATGGATAAAGCAGGTAACTTACGTGGCAATTGTATGCGCCTCGGGAATCAGTGGGAGAAATACACGATGAAGAACGCCACATCACATAACTGTACATGCGGATGCCCTGCATTTGAACATGTAAGTATTGATAAACCTCTGCTTAATTTCATTGGTTCATTTTTCTCACTTTGTATTTACTTGTGGTGAACAAAGCGAAGAAAATAAACCTCCCAATTAATTTGTGAGTGACATGTCTATATAAGACCGCATTAAATTGTTTGTTTTCAACAATATATTATTATCAATATAATGTTTGAAATGCTTGTTTTATGAATAAATTATAGCTTTTCAAGAAATATATGCAGTACCTGACATTTGTATTTCCTATTATTGTTAACTTATTTTATAATATCAAAGATAATAGCAACAAGACGCGTACTCCTGTGTTAACACTATTAAAACAGCCTCAAAATGACATGTGCGTGCTTATCCCCGAGCCGGCGGCGCGAAGCGCCGTGCGAGGGTACTAATTCCCCCCGGCTATTTACACCCGGGGAAACGAAAGCATTAGCCAAGTCTAAAGTTCATCAAATATCGCGGGCGTGACCAACAAACCTTGAGTGGGTGGTCATCCTCACTGATCTCAAAAATATGGCGGACTGTCATGGATTGCGAACACTGATTGGTCAAATTTAAAATTTGTTGTTGTGTGACAAATGACAACTTCAACTGACAAATACTTCATGAAAATAATTTGCACTACAGTATTTTGTACGTTTGCAAAAACTTTTCACAGTTTTCAAAGCAATCTGTTATATAACAAGTTTAACAAAACAATTACGGTATCAACTACCTATTGAAAATATATGGAGCCAAATGAAGAGCGGCAGGAAAACGACAAGAAAGCCGAACGTCTAGCGAAAAGGAGGGAGCGAAGACGACAACGTTTGCTCGAGGAGACTGCTGAGGAAAGAGAAACTCGCCTGAGAAAACGCAGAGAAGCATGGAAAAAAAAGACTGTCGAAGCAAAAGGTAAGCAAAGGGAGTATAATAGAGTCTATAGGCAACAGAAAGAAGCTCCAGAAAGTGCCGAGGAAAGAGAAGCTCGCTTGGCAAAACAAAGAGAAGCATGGGGAAAAAAGACTGCTGAAGTGCAAGGTAAAAAAAAATGAGTATATGAGAGTCTATAGGCAACAGAAACAGGCTGGAGAAAGTGCCGAGGAAAGAGAAACTCGCTTGGCAAAACGAAGAGAAGCGTGGCAAGAAAGGACTTCAGAAGTTAAAGGTAAGAGAAAGGAGTATAAGAGAGTGTATAATTTAGATAAAATGCAAAATGAGACTGAAGAAGAAGGAACAAACAGAAAGCAAGACCAAGCAACCGAAACAGTTGATGAACGAGCAAGAATACTTGAAATACTACGAGCAGTTTTTCACACAGCAAGTTCAAATGAAAATGACCGAGAATCAAATGAGCAGTTGAGTATGTCTGTTGATCCAAATGTAGATATACCTGTATCTGTTCCTAAAGCAGACGAGGATAGTGAGTCTGTACATGAAGCAGAGGGGCCAGAGGTGAGTAGAAATGAATATTTACATGAGGGTGGTTGGCAAAATGTTGACAACCCGCTGCATGAGCTAGAGTTTGTACAAAATGAAATGCACAGTTTTCATTTAGATCAAGAACATTTAGAGCATCGACAATGTACAATGTGTAAAGAAGCTTGGCCGACACGCCAGAACTTGGGATCAGAAGTATACATTTGTTACCGGTGCAAGAGAGACAAGAAATCACCCAAGAAATTCAGTGCCGAGAATGACATGGACCCAGGAACAGTTCCTGAACAATTGAGAGGTTTGACACAGGTAGAAGAAATGTTAATTTCAAGGGTTTGTCCCATTATGAGAGTGTATAGAAAACATGGGGGTCAGAGGGGGTATAAAGGACATGTACTTAACTTACCACAAGATATTCAAAGTTTCTTGAATAGGTTGCCTTCACGTGTGGCAGACTTGCCTGTCTTGATTGTGCGAAGACATGGTGCAGAAGACACACACCGAGACTTTACTGTGCGTCGACACAAAGTTCTCGAGGCTGTGTTATGGTTAAAGACAAACAACCCGTTCTTTAAAGATATCGAAATTGATAGAGATGTCATCCAAAGTTTACCAGAAAATGGTATTCCCGATGAGCTAAGGTATGTCATTGATGAAAATGAGCTTTCGGTTCATGTTGAAAATGAGGGGCCTCCCCAAGACCCAGTAATGAGTGCTAATGCAAGTGTGGAAGAGTTAGTTTTAGGAAGTGGCAGTACATCGTTTATTCCTATGCGTCAAAGACAGAAGGTGCAGCTATCCAAGATGCAGTGAATGAGGTTGATCCATTAGATTGGCCATCTACTGAAGGTAATCTCGTTAATGAATTTAAAACAGATGGTTTAGCTACTATGGCCTTTCCTACATTGTTTCCTTATGGGAAGGGGGACCCTACAAATAGGGCACGGCAACATGGTATAACGTTAAATGAAGCTTTCAAACATTTAATGAAGTTTGCAGAGAGGCTTGCAGATGGTAAGTTTGAATGGAGGTTTGCTTCTCACCCACGGTTTCCTTATTGGGCGTTAAATATGAAACAACGGCATCAGCTGTTGTCACAAGCAAATGTTTACTTGCGTCAACATCCTGCTGATGCAAACATGACAATGGAAGAACTGAAGCAGATGGTAAATTCCATGAGTGCAAACCAAATGATGAATAGGTTGCAATGCTATGTGTCCAAAGTACAAGGTACGAATCAGTATTGGTATCAGCGGCTGCAGGAATTGCTAGCCCTGATTGAACAAAAAGGCTGCCCTACATTTTTCTTTACCTTTAGTGCAGCTGACATGCATTGGCCAGACTTACAGAGGCTGTTGCAGAATGATGAAGGTGCAAGCAGATCTGAGCGAGCACAAGCTGTAATCGACAATCCCCACCTAACTGATTGGTTTTTTATGCAGCGGCTGCAGGAGTTTGTCAGACACTGGCTTAATGGCATATTGGATGCTGAGTGGCACTGGTATCGATTTGAGTACCAAGCTAGGGGAAGTATTCATTGCCACGGATGTGCAAAGTTAAAAAACGACCCTGATATTAGAAAATTACGTACTAAGGCATGTGTTGCATTCCTAGAGAGTGAGACAACAAAGTACGAAATGTCACCTGATGACTTTGAATTCCTTTGTGGGGATTTGATAAGACAAGGAGAAGATGCTGAGAAGTTGCTAATACAGTAAGAAAAAATATTTTCCATATTAACATTTCCATATATGTGTACTGTAGACCAAGGTAACTGTGCAGAATCTGTTGTGGGATAATTGTTTCAATAATATTATAAATTTATCCTGGCAACAGGTCTTCAAATGCATGTGCCGGCATTGTAAGTTAAATGCACAATACCGGATCCGAATTATTAGTCATAACATTGAATTTAAATAGTCATAACATTGAATTTTGCATTTTTAGATATCTCTTACTGTACCTGCTACTGAATTTACAGTATTGCAATAGCATTTCAAAATACAGTACCATGAAAACTATACAAGGCATGCTCCCAAAAGTGTGCAGGTCAAATATTCATGTCAACTAAAAAGCGAATTTTGTATTGTGCATTGTATTACCACTGCTGCCTATTTTGGATAAAATTATTTAATAATATGACTACTACTGTAAATACTTTATAAAGGCAGGATAAACTTCTGTGCACAACTTTTGCCTAAAATTGTCGCATACAACCTGCTTATATATATGTGTATACAACTTGAGTAAACAACCTGGGTAAACCAAGCACACAACTATGGCTATGACAACGTAAGCGAATTTAATACAGTGTGAACTTGTGGTACAAGCAGGTTGCATAAGGCAAACGTTGTGTAGTCTATTTAAATCTGCCTTAATACACTAAATATAACAACACTCACCAAATACCCAGCTAATAATATTATATGCAGATAGCCAATCTCCACAATTTTGAAAGGTCTTTCGCTCATATTTTTTATTATTATTATTATGCATATTTAATATATTATGATACGGTAGTATTAACTTTAATTGCTACATTAAAATTGAAAAAGTAACAATATTTTACGTGTAAACAAAATTCCTTATAAAATTCCTTAAAAGGTTTCAATTTTCCTGAAAGGAATTTTCAATTTATTTATTTGTATGTAAGAAATTTATTGGAATGTAAGAAATTACATAAATAGAAAGTGGAAATTTAGCTGTTGGTGATACAGGTTTCACAGGAAAATATTTCACTCAGTCAATGGTGTAATTAAAACTGTTTTATGACTAATTTGGTAATATTTGGCTAATAGAACGAGCATGCACATATAATAATAAGTTATGATTATTTTAAAGGTATGTTGACTGGCTGGTGACAACTTTTAATGAGGAATTGCCTGATGAGAACTGGAGTGTACCAGATCCTCACCCATCTGCTGTTAGGGCTACAACAGTGGATAATCATGACAATGATTATCACAGGTTAGTTAATACTGTAGAAAGACACACTAGATGCAGTCCAGCGTATTGTTTGAAACAGAAAAGAGTGGACCTGCTTGCAGAATGCAGATTTGGTTTTCCAAAGCCATTACAAGAAGAAACAGAACTGAGTCGTGAGTTGGTGGTAAGTAAGAATACTAAGTCTGTTGAGTCTGAGTTACATACCAAGCGAAATGACCAAAGGTTAAATTCACACAACAGGGTGATGCTCGAAAACTGGTGGGCAAATGTAGATTTGCAAGTCATTGTAGATGAGAAGGCTTGTGCAAGATACATGGCTAAGTATGCTGCGAAAGGAGAACCCCGATCGAAATCGGCGTCAGAAATACTAAAATTGTCTGTGTCCTCATTACAGAATGATGATCAAGTCTCTTCGACCTTCAAGAAAGCAATGAT